TGCTTGTTCCACCATCTTCACATTCCTTACTTTCTTTGCCTTGCACTCAGCTCATCCAGCCAAGGGAAAGTACCTTTTTGTTCAGGTATAGGCTTGCTCTTGGCACTGAGCTGTTGCCAATGTGGCTATACAGTGGCTCCATTTTTTATGAAGTGATTCATACTGAATATTATTAATGTTTCTGTTTGAGTAAAGTTTTTGTCCCCTGCCCCATACGCACCCCTCTCTATTAAACAGGATCTTGACATTGAGGCCTAACTGACAGGGCCCTTCCATTTGGGACTTTAACAAGCCAACATGACTTCAATACACTTCCCTCTAAAGTGCATCTGCAGGTGTCATCACAGGCAGTCTGTATGAATGCTCAGGTTTGTCCCTGTGCCGTTGGGATGCTGATGTTGGTAGTGCCTAGTCAGTGAAATCTCCCCCAGGTGCCAGGGCAAGTGTCTGTGCCTTGTACAGCAGGCAGGCTCAAAGGGGGATGCAGTTGGGGGGTGGGGGGGAAAGGGTTAGTGGATTAAATCCTCCCCAAATTAATGGTAGTGATGGAGGGCTGGAGAGAAAAGCAGAGTAGCACTCTCCACTAAGATGGATTGCCTTATCTGTATGCTGCCTCTGGCAGGAGACACAAACCCACCCCCAACCTCTGCTGCACCTTTTATAAGATACAGAGCAATGAGGAAGTTGTCTCTTACCTCCTGCACCAACTATTTGTTTTAATCATCACAAGACTGTCAGGAAGTCAATCCTCCTCCTCTCTTTCCAGTCGGAGTTGCTAATGCCTCCCATGACCTGTGCTATGGCAGTGGTGGAGTCAGGGTGTATGCAGGTGGTAGCAGACTCCTGGACCTCAGCTCCATGTCCCTCCTCTCCCTGGTCATCACTGCCAGTTACAGGGTTAAATCCTGGCCCCACTGGAATGAGGGGTCCCAAATCTCAATGAGATTTGAAGCCGATTGATTTCCATGGGATCATATCCTTGGGCCTCTTGGCCTTTTGGGGGAGGTGGGAGCCACCAGTCTGCATGCTGTGTAGTCACTAGATACAGATGTTCTGAGCCTGAATGGTTCAGGAGTCTGTGTGGATGCTAGCTTCAGTAAGGCCCTGTATGAAGTGAGAGGCTGTTTAACTTCCCTTGAGGATTGCATCTTTTTATGGAACTTTAATTTGGGACCAACTGGTTCCCTCTTATGCTGAGCGGAAGTAGTTAGCCATGTTAGTCTGAAGTCAGGCCAAAGGTAGAGTAGGGTGGCACCTTGGAGACTAACCGTTACCCTGTTTTCTTTTAAGCTCATAGTGCCTAGACCCTTGGGGCTTAGTGGGTGCTCTGAGGTGCATCTGAACCCATCTTGGACTTGTGGAAGAAATTATACAGACTTAACCACTTTGGAAGTGTATCTGGGACTTGCCTGTACCTCCCTAAGGAAGAGTGCTTGCTTATTCAGGTGTAAAGTAGGAAGGGACCCCACGTGCAGTGAAAATATACAAAATGGTGACATGACATGAGAGAGAAATTCAAGCAGCTTGAAGCTGCTGCTTTTTAAAAAACTACCAGCTCCATGAATAAGGAATTGCACTTGTTCATGTATTCTGGATATTGTCTGCTTCCATCTCCCAGTACAGTACTGGCAGAGTCACATAGACAACTCTGCCAGGGACTAGAGTCACCAGTTGCAAGTTTGTGGCAAGCTGGAGAGTGGAGCAAGCTGAAGCATGTCTTCTTTTCTGTAGGCCCAGACCCTGGATGACCTGGCCAAAGAGATAAGTCTAGCAATCTGGATTCTGGAGGAGTTAGGATCAGGATGAAAGAGTCTCATGTCCGTGTTTATCCCCTAGGTACCTTGTTTCCAATTTGCACATATGCAGATAAGGAAGTTGAGCCCACCCCAGCCCTAGTGTAACTCTGGCAGTCTGAAACATTACACTAGGGATGAATATAGCACTCACTTTTCCCATCTCTCAAAATGTTTGATCCTCCACAGTGACTGGCCTTTCCCCAGCATCTTGGTTCCTGCAAAGGCAGTGCTGGGAACCCAGTGGAAATTCTCTCAGAGATTCAGCTGAAATGCTGGTACTGTTAAAATGAAAGATTGTGTATTTGTTTATTCTGGAAATTGATATTGGTTAGCATAAGAAGCATGGGCTAGTGGTCTGAGCATTGGTCTAGGAACCAAGAGAACACCCTTGCGTTCCAACGTTCACTCTGACATGGGCTCCATCTGCAGTTTTGACCAAGTATCTTAAATTTGCTGCCTCAGTTTTCTTTACTGTAAAGTAGGCATACTATTTTTCTCCCAACTCTGTTGTAAGGGCCAGTTCTCTTACAGTATCCTTTGACTCTAAGTACTAACTTATAGAGGAATTCAATATACCCTGTATATCACAGTAGGAGTATGCTGCTTTTTTTACCTGATTTTTGGTCTGGCCTTGTGAGTAGAGTGATGATGAGTGTGTAAGCATGTCCTTAATATGAAAGGGTGAGGCCATTTCATACATATGTTGTATTGTAATAACAGCTTTATCTTAGTGTATCAGAATGCTTCTTTTGGCTCATCAGATACTGCATTGATACAATCAAAACTGAAGGTGCCAATACAAAACACAGTGCCATAGGATGAAATTCTCAGCATTTCTCAAGCATATCTCAGCATTTAATTACAATAAGAACGGCTTGCTAATAAATACAAAAGTTAGTCGTACTGTTTTTTTTAAATCTGTTTAGTGCTTTTCTGTCAGTTTTATTTTTTTTATTGAACCATCACCAGCAACAACACACACATGCTAGATAGCTGAAACCAAGCTAATCCTGGCATCAGAACTTCTATTTTAAAAAACAAGTACACACACACACACACACTCATTATCACATTACTAAACAGAGAACACAAAGCCACAAAGTAATTATTTGATTGTCAACAATCTCCAGATCTCTCTGACCCTCTCTCTCTGACCCTGAGCTGAGGTAGCCCAGCTCAAGCTGGAACTTGTATTTGGAAGCCCTGAGTTTTCTTAGCATATGCAATCTGAGCTTCTGCTCTCTTTATCCATGGGGACTTTTGCATGAATATTTAACAAGAGACCAGAATTTCCAGGGTGATTCCGGTGGCAAAACAGTATTCCTCAAGCCAGTGTGTTCAGCCATGGGCAGGACTTCCAGGCTATTATAGCATAAACTTGCAAAAACATGATCCATGGTTTTAGTTTCTTTTGTTCTCCCCTGGCTCTGCTTTTAGCCTGTGATCTGAAAGTTGTTTTACATTTACACATTAGGGTGTGAAATGCAATGATGTTGGAAGCTGATTTTAAGGGTCCTGAAGCTATCTGTATAGACAAGGCAGGCATGCATTCTCTTACACACTCAGCTTCAGTGCTGTTGCTCCTGTATGTCAGAGAATCACAGAAAAACAAGGCTAGAAGGAGCTGCTGAAGGTCATGTAGTCCAACCCCTGCTCTCAAGACAGAATCATCCCAGTCTAAGCTGCTCCAGATATGTGGTTGTCTAACCTGCACATAAAAACTTAGCAAAAGAGATTCCATAACTTATCTGGCAATGTGTTCCAGTACTTAACCAGCTCCATCATTACAAAATTCTTCCTAATACCAAACCTAATTTCCTTTAGTGCAATTTAATGTCATTACTTCTATCAGGTCCCCTTTAGAGAAAAAGAAGGGTTTTGCAGAATAGAGCAAGGAAGAGCAGCCATGTTCCCAAGATGGCTGCCCATTCCCCTTGGAGATATGTTGTGCTGCTGGCTGTACACACAACCTGCTTCCCCCTTTCTTCAAGTGATCAATACTGAGTTTGTATCCTACCCTTTTTCCAGGACAGTGGGACACACAGTTCTCTGATCCATGTGCCAAACACTGCTCTCTTCCCTATACATTGCGCGCTGCAGATAGCTGCCCCTTCTAAGCAGATGATACAACCCAATTAGATAACCAGAGCTGTGAGGAAAAAAAATGGTTTTTCTGAAGCTAGGGAGTATTAGTGGAGGTGCTGCAAGCTTTTGTCTCATCTTTTATTCAGCCACATCACTAAAATTTTGCTCCTTTGCCCTAGAAATCTGATCTTGTACCTCACATCCTTCAGCAGTGGACCTTCCCACCTCCTTGGTTCAAAAGTAGGTGGCAACATTCTCTTAACAGCTAGCAAGTTCATGATGTGCCAGTATGCCTTTCTTAGCTTTAGATGGAAAATTGATCAAGATCAGTAACATTTGCAAAGTATTAAGATTTAGAAAAGGACTTTGACAGTCATCATACAGATAAGTCTCATGAGGAGCTCCCAGTACGTTGCTGTGGATAAACAGTCTACTGTGATCCTTGAGTATGTCAAAGCAGAAGTGGAGAAGTGCTCAGAGTGGTAGAAAAGCAGCTGGACTCCTGCATTTAAAAAAAAATGTGTGGAAATACTAGAAAGAGTTCAGAGTAGGACCACAACAATGATCCAATGGTTTGAAAATAAGTCCTTACATATGAGGTTTAAGGAGCTCAAGTTAGAAAGCCGAAAGCTAATTGTGGTTTCCCACCTCCCCGCAGCTCCCTTCCCCACACCTTTCAGATAAAGGCATTACAAGAGCCAGTGGCTGGAAGCTAAAGTTAGACAAATTGGGTCTTGACAGCAGATGCAATTCCTGAGTTGCAAGGATGACCACTGGATTTTACAATGAGATACAGGGGACTTGCTAGTCCTTGGAGTCTTTGGGATGAAATTAGGTGCCATCCTAAAATACATGATTTACTGAGAAAGATTCTGTAGGCAGTGGAAACAGGGTTTCAGCCTAAATGATCACAGTGGTTCCTCTGGCCCTAGTGTCTATGGATACATTTGCAGTGTAGTGCCTTACTTGAACTCCATCCAAGTTAATTTACCCTGCATTGTGCAGTATAGACAGAGGAGGCGCATCCCCACGAGTGGGAACGTGTTTCTCCGGAGACAAGTAGCACCTTGTGCCACTGCTACTTGTCCCTGGAGAACACCCATGCCATTTCTTCTCTGGAGCATGGCACATTGCCCTGGGTGGGGTAGGGGAGACTGGGCCAGCAACTGTGTTGACCCTGTCATCTTCAGTAATATGTTCCTGCTTCTTCTAAGGCCCAGTTTCAGAACCACTGCTTTATACAGGCTGTGTAATTTGCATAAATCATTATTTTCCCATGAAAAATGTTCATCACATCATTACCTACCACTCTCCTCTGTGTATCTGTGAGCAAACATTAGGCAATAAGCTTTCATTCTGCCTTCAAAACATCATAGCAGCAGTTTGTTAGAATGACCGCTAACCATTTGGAACATAGAAAGATCCCTATATACAAAAAGTGACTTTTCTGACAGAGACATTCCCCATAATCTGCTTTCAAATTCAGCCATGAACATCTATTTCAGTTCATCTGCTCCTCAATGGAATGTGAGATGAAGCACTTATTGGCATTGCTTAGAGCTCTCAACATGAGACAATTTTGACCCCAGAGGGGTGTAGAATTTGGTATGTAACCTCTTCTCTTTTTGCAACAAAAGTGAAAAATTAAGGAATAAGACTCAGAGTTCTAAAGGTGCCTCATATGCATCCATGCAGGTATGTGTACAGGTGCAGTGCATACTTCTGCCCGAGCTGTACTTGCACAGATGCACAGCATCCTTGTTCACATAGTAGGTAGTCAGAGCTCTGAGTCACTTGCATATGCAAATTTGAGGGGCTGTGAATGCAAAAAAAAAAAAAATATGAGCATGCTTAATTATGGACCCCACTTGGCTGCTATGGAAAATGTGTCTGTCCACATCCAAAGCATTTACTATCTATCTCCTATGCAGGGAGAGGTGATTTTATAACAACTTGAACCAGAATCAATGCTGGTTTAAAATGTAAAAAGAGTTCCCTGGCATTAAGGAGGCCAAGGGTTTAATCGTGGTTCCAGACGGCTGAATCAGGGGCCAGCCCTAGTTTTAAAAGGCCTAATCCCACAAACGTTCCTCATGGAAGTAGCCCCACTGGCTTCAGGCATTTACCCATTTGAGCAAGGCCCATGGGATGAGGCTGATTCACCTGTACACAGACCTAAGCCCTGCTGCAGAGTGTAACATGCAACAAGCTGTTTTCCAAGGAGAACACAGTAGAACCAAAATAAGAAATGAGTTGACGCAAGTCACTAAATTATAGCCCAGGCTAGTGTGTTGGGTGACAGACTGTGTCACAGACTACGTGCATCAGAAGCAGTTACTATGGACACAGCTTCCGAGAGAGAGAGGCCAACGGAGAGAAAACTGGGATGAAAGTGAAATGACACCTGGGTGGAATATAGTTAATTCATCCTTGAAAGAAAAACAAAACAGCACAACAAAACTGTCTAAAACTTCACGGTTAGTAGAATCAAAAGTCCTTGGCACTCCTAAATTCTGGCATGCTCCACACTCTTCTGGTGGGCTGGCTGCCACGCTCTACATCCTCCGAAATGGTCTTGATATTACTGATGAAGGGGGAAATCTTGGCCCGGGATTTAAATGACATGAGGGAGATGCTGCTTTTCTGCTTTGTGTTCCACTGCCTCGCAAGTTTCCTGGCCTCTTCTTCCTCCTTGATTTTCTCCGTGGCTTCCTGCAGGACCGAGCGGAAGAGCCGGGAGACTTCATGCACCTCTGGTTCATATTCAGCAATAAGCTGCCGGAACCTAAAAATGGACAGTCAATGCAGAGCTTTGGTTACAAATAGCTGAGCTGTAGTCGTGTGTTCGACGTGGAGCCTGGCTCCCAGTTGCAATATAATTGACCATTTCTCAGCGCTTCAAACTGGGCAAAATACTATATATATAGTTGAGTAATGTCGTTTGGTAAAAGATTGTTAATCCAGTACAAATTAGTAGGGATCTACCCTATTTGAGATTTCATATTTTTTGTGGAAACCATGAAAAAAAGTTTCTGTGAACCCTGCAAAAATGGCAATCCCTGTGATTTTTTTGGCATGGAATTGCCAGGAAAAAGAACACTTACTAAAAATAAAATGCTGACAACCAGCAGTTTTCAGGGCCACTGTGGCCTAGACTTACAGCCTGCCATGTGGTGGGGGATGCTGCCTGAACAAAGGGAAGCAACAAAGATGGTGGCTGCTCCTCCTGCACCTTGCTGCTGATTGGCCGAGAGGGCTGCCTGTTGTGTGGCCCCACCCCTCTTTGCCAGTCAGCAGTGAGGGGCAGGGTCTCCAGGGCCCCTTGGCCAATCAGCGACCGGAGAAGCCACTATGAAAAGATCACGAAACTGGTACCACGGGCCACTCGCAGCCCATGATTTTTCTTTCGCCTTGCTGTGAATTAGGTAAATCCCTACAAATTAATATTGCTGTGGTCTGCGCATCTAAACAAAGCTGCTGTGAACTGCTCAGATGCCTTTTCAGGAAGGAGCTCAAAGCTGTTTATAGATGCAGATGACTTTAGCCTTATGTCACCAGTGGGCAGTAGAGAAGAATCATCTTCCTTAAGCAGGTAGAGAAACAGAGGAGAAAGGTCTACTCAAGTTGCCTAAGGTCACACAGTAAATCGCTTGCAAAGTTAGGAGAAGGCATGCAACTCCTGACTCCTCCTCTGCAATCTAAGTAGTAGGATGTGCCCCCACATACATCGCACATACTAGCTGTACAAGTGTACTCATGACCAAAGACAACATATGCTTTTCTACCTGCTAAATGATGATGACTGACTTTCTATTCTGGTAGAAGTTTTAATCAGAATGTTTTGAGAGCTACACCTACAAACAACAGGCAGACAGAAGTGCTTAATATTGAATATTTATATTTAACACACAAAAAAAAGATGCTTGCAGGGCACTTTGAGATCTTTCCCTGACAGAGAAATTAATAGAGCTAGAAAACATTAGGGCTTGATAGAAATTATGTTTGGTTCTATAAGAATTACTTGTCTAACCTATAGAACTGTAACTGTTTCTGTAACTGTTTTAAACCATGGAATGGATTAGGGCAGAGGAGGGTCAACCCTTTTGGCAGGTATGCCAAAAATTAGCCCTATGCCCTCTCTAAGTGCCAGTCTGATTCCCACTCTCTGCTTGATTTGCTGCTCTGCTTCCTCCTGTCCTGTGTTCCCTGTCCTATCTGCTGTTATGTCTGCTTTGTGCTCCCTGCCTGATCTGCTGCTCTGCCTTCTGCCCTCTTCCCCAATCTGCCACATGCCACAGATAGAGGCTGCCCATGCCACTTGTGGCACATGTGCCACAGGTTGACCGCCTCTGCGTTAGAGAATGATAGTTAGTGTAGTTCAGTAGCACTGATTTCTAGATCTCCAGAAAGACAGTTGTTCCTTTATATTCCAAAGGACTTTACATACTGGGTAGAAAAATGGGGAGGTGTAAACTTAAACCATTTGACTTTACTAGGAAAGAATTTCAGAGTGAAGACTTACTATACCAGTGGGATATGCTGAAGGTATAGTTTAACAACTGTTTTACACAGCCAGAGCTTCACTTATAGCAGTACATCTATACGGGCATAGCCCACTACTCAACGGTCAAATCTGCATCTGCGGTAAACATCTCAGCATCTACACATGCGGTCCTATTAGGCTACAGCAAAAAACTCTCCACAGGTTAGTATCTGTAAATATAAGTGGTATCGTGCGGCAGAGTTCTTTTGTGTGCAGCAATGCATGCAGACACTCATGGGGCGAGCAGAGGCACAAGGGTGCTTCAGTGCGGGGGCTGCTTGCCAGCTAGCCCCATACTGGAGTACACTTGTGCCCCAGCCAGCCCCTCTGCAGCATATTGAGCCAGCTCAGAGCAGCCCCAGGCTGGTAGGCTGACCCCCAACTCCCCCCAGGCCCTCTGCCAGCTGGGGCTGCTCCGACGTAAGCTCAATATGCTGTGGTCTCAGGCACACGTTCAAATACAGCACCCGGGAACAATAAACTCCTGCACGATATACAGTCAGAGTTTATTGCTTCAAATTAATTGCACATGTAGACGTGCCCAACATCATCAATATCTAGTGGGAGTTGAGGGTACTAAGCATCTATCAGGAACTGGCCCAACAGGCTTGATCCAAGACCAAATGAAGTCAAAAAAGTCCCTCGCTGATTTGAATGGCTTTGGATCATTTCTTCATTCAATGTAATCTCCATGAGTTTTCAATACTGGGGGCTCTGACGATCCTGCCAGCTGGACCAAAAGGCCTGATTCTGTCATTCATTATTACTCATATAGGTAGTCAGGTTGTGCTATAAGCTGTACATGTTTTTGAATATTTAAAACCACAGAGCTGAACTGAATTGCATGAGAGGCCTGAATAAGTTGGGGATGGGTCTGTGCCAGTGCAAGTATATAGGGTATTAACCTGTGATGGAGAATGCTTGCTGGTATACGGGGAATGTGTCATTGGTAGACATACCTCAGGTGCCCCTACCAAGGAGACAAGAACATAGCTTGTGAAAAGGATTTATTTATTCACCCCTCTATCACAGTTAGATGCTTCTGTCGAAGCACAGGTCTATCCAAAAAGGTCTTCGCTCCACTACTGAGCCTCCTTATGCAGAAGCAGTACTCTCTGAGGAGTTTAACTCACAGGAATTGGTTTGTTGATTCACTCCATTCTTTTTACCACCCTGTGTGTTTGGAATACAACAAATTATCAAGGTAACACTTTAACATCGGTGTGAAGGAAGATGTTTTAAAATCACAGAATCATTGATGGTTCCTTTCTTTTTGTATTTGTAATACTTTATCCACATTTAGTTACAGATAATTCTTTTCAGGCAAAACATGTGTCATTTAAATGCTCAGTTGTCTGCCTATACCACAAGGTCAGGTATTTTCACGCTTGTATGCTATTATGCCTCGAGTTTTGGACCTGAAATTAGTTTCAGGAACAAATGGGGAGCTGGGCTGTGGACCCTTTAAAATGTGGCTCTGATTGGGTCAGTACAAGCACTTTAGATTATTAATCATTAATAATTTTCCAGATAAACCTGAGTTCATCCCCTTAAAGGTCTGTCTGACTTTTCCTCAGTTAGGACAAGGAGCCTGGGGTGGGCTTAGTTTCTCTCTGTTATGAACAGCAACAGGCCACCCCAGTGGCAACTAACCTTTTGGTCCTTTACACCTCCCTGCCGCTGTGTGCCGGTCTGGCCCCACACAGCCACATCTGACCCCATGTACCTGGATCCAGCCCTGCACACCTGGTGGATGCAACCCTCCATGCCTAGGTCTGGCTGTGTGCACGGCCACATTATCCAGTCCATGGAGTCCCTATAGGTTTGGGAATCTGACTGCAGGGATGCAGCAATTAATGCTTCCACTCCTCCCCCACTGCCAAATTTTCAGTTGTGTGGGGAGCCCCTGCAGGCCAGGGGTTGAGCATCCCTCATCTACTGTATTTGGAACGGGGCATGTTTAAAGGAACACAAACCATCCAAAGTCCATTTTCATTAACATTTAAAGAGGGGTAACATTATGTTAGAGCCTCTCATGGCATTGCCCAGAACATACTTGCATGACTTTGCTGTTGTACCTTCCCTGTTAGTACTGATTTAGGAGATTAGCTGAACAGTGAATAATTGTGCAAAACTTAAATTCTAATAGATTCTAGTGCAAGAAGGAAAGATAATGGGAGAATTAAAACACTCTGTTCACTCTGCTTCATACAAACAGCACTACCATGGAGAAAGCACCATCACCAATAACAGAGAATAAGAGGTTGCGCTGGTTCCCTCTCCTCATATGGCTCCAAAGCACCTCGCTTTTTTTTCCAGTGTTCCCTTACAGACTCCAATAAACATATGCCAGAGAAGCAGGTGATGGGCTCCATTAGGACTCCATTGTTTACCAAACATTTCCCTGCTTGTCCTAGGGGCTACCTGTCTACCTAGGAAAGTGACCATGAAGTACATTACTGTAGGGGTGTTGAGCATACAGCCCGCAGGCTGGGTCCAGCCCACAGAGTTTGGTCATCCAGACCACTACCTTGATGGGGGAGACCATTCTGCATCCATAGGCAAACATCCAGGCAAAATTTGGGGCACTGGAGCCCAGCAGCACCATGGGAAGAAGCTTGGCACTGCAGCTTGTTCCTGTGGCAGCAATCAAGAACCCCGGATGCCAGGTCTCTCCCCACCGGGTCCCAGACCAGCTCTGTATCATTCATCCAGCCCCAAACTAATCCCATACCACATATCTGGCCCACAGGGCCAGATGATTTTGCCATCTGTGTACTAGGGCATGGATTTATAGCACACAAGCTACTCCTTACCAACGCCCCACGTTGACATTCTTAGTGCCCAGCACGTGGGAAGTAGCTTATCCCACTTTCAGAGCGCTGCTTCTATTTAAAATATACATGTGGGTAAATACAGTGGAGCAATTCAAGGTAGTGCAAACTACTTTGCACTCACTAAATGTACATCCTCACAGGGGTTGAGCACAGAGAAGGTAGCCCCTGAGTGTTGCACTCTAGCTTTCTCTGCATGAGCCTTCCTGTATACACCAGCCCTGGCTCAGGGTAAAAGGAGTATCAGTGGGTGCATCAACACTAGGTGTGTTACTGCACATTAGATTAATGTGCAGTAAGGCATCACTGTCTACACATGCACATCAATTACTGCACATTATATTAGTCTAATGCACTGTACTATACACACCAGAAAAATGGTGCATTAACTAATGCTCTGAAGCACAT